AACCTGCAGGCCAAGACCCCATGCTCCTGTTGCCCCGCCGGCCAGGGATTTACAGCAAGAAGGCAGCAGGACTCCGGCCAGCATGGAGGAAGAAGTGGGGCCACCTGCCCACCACTGCCCGCTCCGCTCAGCAGGGGCTGCCTCCAGGACACCCAGTACTGGAACTATCTGCCGCTGCCAGATTGGTGCAGGCTCAGGATGGTGTCCATGCCCCACAGGTGAGTGTGTGACCAGAATGGGGCATGGGCTGCAGCTTGGGGGCAGAGGGAGCTCCGCAGCCTCAGCCTCACTGTGTCCTGGGGCAGAAGACAACACATGGCCCTGGGACCCATGCTCCTGCCGCCCCACCAGCCTGGGCCCTGTGCTCATGCCCCCTGCCCACCTGCCCCTTCTTGTTGCTGCCACCACTACTCCCCGCCTGCCTGCCAGCCATGGGCTCCTGCCGCCCCACCCTGGGCCCTGCTGGCCCTGGCACCAGCTTCCATGCTGCTCACCCACCCAACCCTTCTCACTCGTCCCCACCAGCTCCAGAGCCACATGCAGGAGCAGACCCAGCTCTCCTGCTGCCCCGTCCTGGGCCCCCGTCAGCTGTCCCTTACCACTTCACTCGCTGCCGCCACTGCTTCTCTCCAGCCCCGCGCTGGGCGTTATAACAAAATGCTCTGAGCACTATGTGAAACCAGGTACGTATTTTCCACGAGTGCTATAGCGAAACCACGGTAAGCAGGGTTTGCCTGTACTCTACCCAGCATATTGGACACCCTTGTGAAACTTTGTAATGGTCACATCACCATCACTTTGCATCAGAAACCAACCAGCAGTTATAACTACCTTCATGCCATCCTTTCATCCTAAATATACCACTAGATTTAACACTTGCACCCAAGCTCTTTGTTACAAATGTATTTGCTCTGATACCATCAACCAGGTTACATACCTTAAGGATCTGGAGCAGAAATTCCTACAATTTAAAAAACAACCCCCAAAAGCCATGAAAAGCCATGGAGGCAGGCTCAGATCCTGCTCTAACCTGCTACAATACTAGGCCTGCCATAAAGACAACAAAATCCCTCCTGTTATCCATCACCTACAGCCCCCAGCTTGAATGCCTCAAACACATCATTAATGACCTCCAACCCCTCCTGGAAAAGAATGATCATCTTAAAGCAGCCTTGGAGAACAAACCTGTCTTGTTTACAGGAAACCCCCTAACTTCAAACAGGATCTCTCCAGCAACACACCACCTAACAAGGCACTAAGCCTTTCAACAGACCCACATGCCATTTTTCCCGGCACCAGTACACACCACATCATCACTGGACCATGCAACACAGATTAGAAAATCTGGGGTTCAACCACCTACTCCTATACTTATGTCATATACACCCTCACCTGCTTCTAGTGCCTATCTGCTGTCTAGATTGCACAGATGGGGAGATCCTTATATAAAAGAATGAATGGACACCAATCAGACATCAATTCCAAAAAGATGGAAAAACTTATAGCAGAACACTTTAACCTCCCTGGACATTTCATTGATGACCTCAGAGTAGCTGTTCATAGACAGCAAAACTTCAAATGCTCTAATGCAAAATTGTGGAACAAAAAAAAATCCACAGATTGGATTATGTTAAATGCCTGTACACCAATGCTCGTAGCATGGGGAACA